AAATACCCAGTAGTGCAATTGCTGGATCATATGGTAGCTCTATTTTCAACTTTTTGAGCAACCTCCATACAGTTTTCCAGAGTGGCTGCACCAGCCAAGGAAATTTTCTAATTAAGAATCCTTGATACACAGCATGGTTTCCCCAGAAGAGCAGGGTGACGATGAAAGAGATCAGGAGAGAAGCCATGAGGAGCCAGGGCACTGACCCTGGGAACCTCCACCTCAGCCAGAGGAAGGTGGGGTGGGTGAAGTTGGCAATCTTCATGCAGAAGGGGACACTGAGCCAAGAGCCAAGCCAGAAGGTGGCCGAGTTCAGGAAGTCCCAGTGGAGACCAGTGAGTTGCCAGGCAGGACCTTGGCTGTACTCGTTCAGGTGGAGGAAGTAGTAGAAGTTGTTCACCATTCCAACCCACTGCAGGCAGAAGTGGGAGGCACCCAAGCTAATGAGGATCATGTCGGAGGGAAGCAGCCTCCCACGCCGCATCCTTTCTCTGCTCAGCACCAGCACAATGAAGCCGTTGGCCAGGATTCCCAGGAGACACAGCAGGACAAAGAGCAGCATGAAGAAGGCTGAGAGTGCTGGCTGCATTTCGGCTCCTCCGTCAGCTCTCCGACCCTTGCGTCTTGCTCCATGGCCTCCTCCCTTCCCCCTCCCACCGTCCCTCTTTTGATCTTTCCTGGGGGTGTGAGAAGACTGCTTATGCTCTACGGCTGAATCACAGTTCACTTAGAAGGCAGATGCTCAGGCTGCTGGGGAAAGGTGAGCTCAGTTCACGGAGGATGCAAATTTCCCATGGGTTCAGTTACCACTAGGCCTACCAACTGCCCCTCATTTGCCTTCTCTGGTTTTGCCTGCATGCTACCATCATTAGCATCAATGAAGAGGGTTTTTCACTGCGTCTCTGTGACTGAGTTCCATCCTTTTTATTTTCCCTTTGGGCCGTATAAACATACCTCTTCCCATCAGATCATTCTTAAGACATTAAGTGTATGCGCAACAAGTATGTGGAGACACCCATATGGCCAAGAGCTAAGCGAAAGAGTGATGACAGACAAGTCTGTCTCCAGCTGGGCTTCCCTGTTCTGCATCCACCCTCACCTACGAGCAGTCATCCCCTTCGAGGTCAGAAGCCTTGGGGATGAGAGAAAAAGAGGAATCAAGGGGGCGCCTGGGTAGCTTAGTCAGTTAAGCGTCTGACTTTGGTAGAAATGGTCCACATTTCTACCAAACCTCTTCTTAAATCCTTCATGGACCCTGAGGTATAAATGATTGATAATGGTTTAAACTGGTTTTATGTTCCAGTGAGAGAATTCATTTCCTAGTGGTTGTGGGACTGAGGGCCATCTGCTTCTTGCTGCATGTTGGTTGAAGGCTGCCTCAGATCCTGGGGGCCACAGGCAGTCTTTGCCAAGTGGGCTGTTTCAACATGGCACCTTGCTTCATCAAGCCAGCAAAGACAGTCTCTAGACAGAGCTGGCTAGCAAAATGGACTCTTAAATAGCACAGTATAATCACAGAAGTAACATCCCATCACCTTTGCCATATTCTATTGGCTAGAAGCAAGTCACAGGCTGCAGGGACACTCAAAGGGCATGGGTTACAAGAAGGTGCAGATACCAAAGTTGGGGGTCATGGGGAACCATCTTAGAGTCTATCTGCCACACTGAGATACCATAGCTTACAAGGTGTGTGTGCTGTCCTGACCTCCAACACCAACATTAAATCCCTATGAGACCACGTTAAAAAGCAAAAATACTTTCTTGAAAGAAAATATAGTCAAGTTGATCTGTAGTCAGATGTTTTCTATTTAATACTTCAAATTAGTCCTTTCTCCACATTTGTTTGGAACTTTTTTTTATGTGTTTCTTTTTGGATTGTGACCTTGTGATGAAAGAAAAATCATTATACAAATAATGTAAAAAAAGTTGTCACTACCACAGTATAAATGTAGAATTATATTAAAATGAAAAATCCACAATAGAAAGAGAGATCTCACTGAAGTTGGGTGAATATGCATTTCTCCCACTCTCAGCTCTATGTTGCTCATACAATTTTTATGCATTCACTCAGCAAATATTTATTGAGCACTTATATACACAGAGTACCTCATCGAGTCACTGGGGATAGAGCAGTGAACCAAAGAGGTGGGATTTCTGCTTCTATAGAACTTGTAGTCCAATGGGAGGTAACTGGTAATAAGAACACACAGGAACAAGATGCTTTCACATAGGAATTGGTGCTGTGAAGAAAACAGGCAAGGAAGATTGCCAGAGAATAGTTGGAGAGGGATAAGTTGCTCCTTCAGACCTGTAGGCTGGGGAAGGCATTCTCAGGGACATGGGCTAAGGGGCCCAAGCAAGTAGGAGCCTTTGCCATATACGGCTGGCTGAACTCATAATATTCTCAAGTCATAATTTCATTCATTTTTTATCCACCATTTCTTCTAATTTTACCAAGTGAGGCCTTCTCCTAACAGAGCATAAGGACTCCAGCAGGTCACATGACTATTCACTCTTATCAAATAGATTGTCCCAAGATCACTTTAAGCCACAAAAAACCTCAAAACAGAAACTGGGCATTTCTGTCCAATATATGAATACAAAATAACAAGATGGCTGCACCTTCAACCCCTCCGGGATTGGTTAATGCAGGTAGAGAATGGAAAAGGGGCAGGAAGGGTCTTACCTGGACTAGCACCAAAGCTTTGTACTTTCCAGGCCTGGCAGATGTTGAATGGTGAAGCTCCTTCATGGGGGAAATTTCGGGGCTCTGGAGGTTTCCCACTGGGCTATCTCTCCTGCAATTCCCTTTGATGGGGAGAAAGCATCTCTATTTGGGGTGATCCCTTGAGACTCCTTCCTCAGCCCCTAGATATTTGCCACCAAATTATTGCTGCTGGCATTTCCTCACTCTACTAGACAGTCCTGTTGGTCAAACCTCAAGATACCTGCACACACATGCTCTCTCCCTTGGGGCCCACGTCTGTTGCCCTAGCTCTGCCACCACCGTCCTAATATGGCCACATTCTCCTGACTCTGCCCCAAAAGTTAACTAGTCTGTTTGTCTCTCATTATCTTAATCCCCAAAGCATGAGCAAGATCTTAGCTCACTATACCTCCCAACTGAAGCAATAACACAATAAGCTTTGTAAGTGGCCCCATGGAAGGTCTGGAGCACCACCAGGTTTTCAGGTAAGTCCTCCTTGGTGGAAGATGGACTGGGTTTCATTATATAGCTATTCTAAATATGTATTCCCCACAAAAGCCTCTCTTTTTTACTCTCTAACCCTTTCATTTTATCAAAGGGTTTCAGGAGTTATGGAACAGGTTTATGCCCATTTTCTCTGAAAACCTGAATATTGTGAACTGGAAGTTCACTTTGAAATCTCCTATCATTAAATCTTTGTACCTGGTAGAAATTTCAACTTTTACTTGAAGGGCAAAATCAAGAAAGTCATGTTGGTCATGGTAAGAAATTGGGATGTTATCCTAACATAATAGAAAGCCATTAGACAGTTTTAAACAAGGGAGTAGCATGACCTACTCTATGTTTTTAAACAGATCCTCTGGGCTATGACTTAGAGAATGGAATTGGGGAGGGGCAAGGACAGAGGAGAGCAGTCAGAGGCTACTGCCTTAGTCCATGCATAAGGCAGACACGAGCTTGTTCCCAAGCGGGAGCACTGGAGGTGATGAGCAGTGATAAGATGCTGGCATATTTTGAAGGCAGATTCAGTAGGATTTGCCTGATATGGGGATGAGAGAAAAAGAGGAATCAAGGGGGCGCCTGGGTAGCTTAGTCAGTTAAGCGTCTGACTTCAGCTCAGGTCATGATCCCAGGGTCCTGGGATCAAGCCCCACTTCAGGGTCCCCGCTCAACAGGGAGTCTGCTTCTCCCTCTCCCTCTGCTCCTCTCCCTCTGGCCCTCCCCCCGCCCCGTGCACGTGCTCTCTCTCACTCTCTCTCTCAAGAAAATAAATTAAAAATCTTAAAAAAAATAAGAGGAATCAAGGATGGATCCCAAATTTTTGACTGCAGTCACTGGGAGAATTTATGGATCCATCTGCTAAGATGAGGAATATGTTTGTGGGAGGAACTCAGTTTTGGTCATGTTAAGTTTGAGACAGCTGTTAGATATCTAAAATGAGACATGAAGGTGACAATTAAAATGTAAGTCTGGATCTCAGTAAGGCTGGAGTAACAGGTTTGGGAGTCATCAACACTTACGTGGTATTCAGAACCATTACATTAGATGAGATCATGTGGGAAAAGAGTGTGGATGGAGACTGGGAAGAGGCTGGGAGTGAGCTTTGCACCTTCAGTTTTGAGGGGTTGAAAGCCAAAGGATACATACAGCAGAGGAGATTTGGCTGAGACTGATATTCAAGAGGGATTCCATTCTCCAAGTTCATGCTCAGAACAAGAGGAGGAGGAAGCAAATGGTGAGGAGGGTGACACAGGAATGAAAACTATGCTGAAGAGATTCTAGTCCTGCAGGGTGATCTACCCAGGGGTTGCATGCTGTGTGTTCTGCAGAGATGCCCTCAGGCAGATACTGTCAATGTGTTCTAACTTTGAGAGGCCCTCTGGTCGGAACCGAAGCCAAGCCCAGTAGAATATCAGTGGTGAAACTTGCTTTACCCTCTGACTGCCTCAGTAGAGAAGCTCTATTTATTATTCATCCATTCAACAAAATCTATTCAGCAGGTACTGTCTGTCAGGCACTAGACCAGGCACATAGATATGAAGATAAAGATCGTCTTTTGAGGGAGAAGGACAAGTAGACATATGACAATTCCATTCAATAAATGATAAAATAATAACTAATATTTACTCAGTGCTGCTAGGCATACCCATGTACTTCTAAGTGCTTTATATATGTTAATTTTGATACTCATAAAAACTGAGTATCAAAAATGGTGCTGAGACACTAGAAATCCACACACAAAAGAGTGAAATTGGACACCATACACAAAAATGAACTTAAAGTGGATCATAGGACCAAATGTAAGAGCTAAAACTATAAAACTCTTAGAGGAAAACATAAGAATAAATCTTCATGACCTTGGGTTAGACAAAGCCTTCTTAGGACATCAAAAGCACAAGTGACGGGCGCCTGGGTGGCTCAGATGGTTAAGCGTCTGCCTTCGGCTCAGGTCATGATCTCAGGGTCCTGGGATCGAGT